GGTCCACTTCCCCATGGAGATAAGAGGAAATAAACAAGAATAAGAACTAGAAAGAAAATAGAAGAAAACCCAGAGGGGTGTGTATATATGTGCTTGTACATGTATGTGTAGTGTGACCTAAGTGTAAGTAGAAGTAGCAAGACGTACCTGAAATCTTGCATGTTTATGAGACAGAAAAAAGGACACCAGCAATCCTACCATCATGTAAAACAATTACAGGCTTTCGTTTTACACTCACTTGGCAGGACGGTAGTACCTCCCTGGGCGGTTGCTGTCTACCAACCTACTACCTTAATTTAAGGGGTACATAGAGGCTAAAAAAGTAAACCCCAACAAGTGTTCAATTGTGATGAAAAAGGCCTGTTTAGGAAGAAAATGCCAAACAGGCCTGTTTAGGAAGAAAATGCCAAACAGGCCCTACATTACTCAGGAGGAAAAGGCACTCCCAGGACACAAGCCAGAAAAGGACTTGTTACCTGAAGTCTTTATGGAAGAGGATTCCTCTTCCAAACAATAGAACACCTTCATCCTCTGTCTTCCTCATGTCTCATCACTCATCAACAAGTCCACAATAAAGGTAAGTGTGATGTTATTATTGTTTTATTCTTCATGTATCATTGTTTTCTGTGTAGGGAAATGTATATTTCATGTAAAAAAATTATTTTGTTTAATAGTTTTGGGTGTCTGGAATGGATTAATTATTTCTTATGGGGAAAATTAATTCAGTTAAAGGCTAAATCGGTTAAAGGCTAGCTCTCTGGAATGGATTAAAGGCGTTAACTGAGGGTCCACTGTATGTCTAGAGGCTGCATAAATTCACCTGACATGTTTTGCTATGTCTGCGGGCAATTCACCCCTTCAGATTCCCAGAGCAACATTACTCCTTTATTGAAGCACTGCTACTTTGCTTGTTTTGGCTGCAAAATTGGAGACCAGGACAAATCATTTGCACAACACAAAGCTTGCAAGAGTTGCATCAGTAAGCTCCAAATGTAGTCAGCTGGAAAACTTAAGTGTATGCCCTTTGGAGCACCAGTGGTATGGTGGGAGCAGATGAACCACCATGATGACTGCTACTTTTGTATGACTAAAGTAGCTGAATTCAACAAGACATAATATAGTTAGTTTAATATCTTTATTATGCACCCCATACCCATCCTCCATAATATACCCAAATATTCCTTCAGCAATAAGGCCTGTTCCACACTGAAGATATTTCTGTACCTGTGCCACCTGAGACATGGCAAATTTCATCAGAGTCTGACACCAGTGATTCTAAGGAGTTGGAAGTAGACTATGAACCACCAACAAATGACAATCCCAAACCCTTCAACCAAGTTGAGCTCAATGACTTGGTGAGAAACCTTAACCTTCCAAAAGAAAGTACACAGTTACTTGGCTCTAGACTGAAGGAACATAGGCTTTTAGTTCCTGGAGCAACATTCGCTTTGTACCATCATCATGAAGTGAAATTCACTCAGTTGTTTGACAAAGAGGAATCTTTAGTTTTCTGTTTAAATATTTCTGGCCTTATTGAACACATGGGGATGTCATACAAAGCAGATTACCTTGAGTTTACCTGGAGAGGGTTTTGGGGGTCAATGCCCCCGTGGCCCGGTCTGAGATCATGCCTCATGGTGGATCAGGGTCTGATCAACCAGGCTGCTACTGCTGGCTGCACACAAGCTGACATATGAACCACAGCCCGGTTGGTCAGGTACTGACTTTAGGTGCCTGTCCAGTGCCTTCTTGAAGACAGCCAGGGGTCTATTGGTAATCCCCCTTATGTATGCTGGGAGGCATCTCCTGCCGAGTCTCTTGCTTTCATAGGGAGTGATTTTTCGTGTGCAGGCTTGGTACCACTCTCTTCAGGACCTTTCAAGTGTATATTATCATGTATCTCTCTCGCCTGTGTTCGAGGGAATACAGATCAAGGACCTTCAACCATTCCCAGTAGTTTAGGTGCCTTATCATACTTATGTGTGCAGTGAAAGTTCTTTGTACACTCTCCAGGTCTGCAATGTTGCCAGCCTTGAAGGGGGCCGTTAGTGTACAGCAGTATTCCAGCCCAGAGAGCACAAGCGATTTGAAGAGAATCATCATGGGCTTGGCATCCCTAGTTTTGAAGGTTCTCATTATCCATCCTATCATTTTCCTAGCGGATGAGGTAGATACATTGTTGTGGGCTTTGAAGGCGAGATCCTCTGACATTATCACTCTCAGGTCCTTCACATTACTTTTCTGCTCTATTGTATGGTTAGAATTTGTGATATACCCTGGCACATTTTTAATTTCTTCAAGTTTCCCATATCTGAGTAGTTGAAATTTCTCCTCGTTGAAGTATATATTGTTTTGAGTGGCCCATTTGAAGATTTGGTTGATGTCCGCTTGGAGTCTTGCGGTGTCTTCGATGGAGGTCACTGCCATGGTGATCCGAGTGTCATCCTCAAAGGAAGACATGAAGCTATGGCTTACATCTCTGTCTATGTCAGAAATGAGGATGAGGAATAGAATGGGAGCAAGTACTGTGCCATGTGGAACAGAGCTTTTTACCGTGGCTGCCTGGGACTTCACTCTGCTTACTATTACTCTTTGTGTTCTATTTGTCAGGAAGTTGTAGATCCATCTACCAGCTTTTCCTGTTATTCCTTTATCCTGCATTTTGTGTGCTATTACACCATGGTCACACTTATCAAAAGCTTTTGCAAAGTCTGTGTATACTACATCTGTATTTTGTTTATCCTCTACAGCATCCAGGACCTTGTCATAGTGGTCCAGTAGCTGGGACAGGCAGGACATATGAATGGAGGTTTTTCATTGATTCTTCTAAAAGAAGTTTAAAGGCTGTACTTCTCCACAATGGCAACACAGCTGCATCTGTGCCATTTGGCCATACTGTCCAGATGTCAGGAACTTATGCAAATATGAAGAGACTGATATCTGCAATCAAGTACCAGAATCACAATTTTCTCATTTGTGGCAATTTAAAAGTTATTGCTCTCCTACTAGGTCTTCAAGGCAGATACACCAAGTATCCCTGTTTTCTGTGTCTTTGGGATAGTAGGGCAGACAGCCAGCACTACGAACAAAAAGACTGGCCACCAAGAACTAACTTCTTACCCGGAAATCACAACGTGAAAACTGTGCCACTAGTTGACCCCAAGAAAATTCTGCTGCCACCGCTACACATCAAATTAGGGCTTATGAAAAATTTTCTGCAGGCCTTGAACAAGAATGAAACTGCTTTCAAGTACAGTGGATCCCCGAGTTTCGGCTGCCCTGAGTATTGGCCGCTTCGAGTTTTGACTGCTTTTTTCAGCTAAATTTTGTCCCGAGTTTCAGCCTGTGCCCCGTTTCAGTCGGGGTGTACCAGACCTGTCCACGCAGGCATCATGAGCCTGTCTAGCTTTGTTTATCCTTGAGTGAACATTACCCTGTGTGCTCATCCAAACATTTCACAATAAATTCATTGTGTTTAGTGCTTGTTTATTGATTGTGACTGTGAAATAAGCCACCATGAGCCCAAATAAACTTCATAGTGAGAGCCCTTTGGTAAAGAAAGTGAGAAACATGATAGAATTAAAGAAAGAAATTGTAGCAAAGTACCAAAGTGGAGGAGGAAGAGAGAGGAGAGAATGTGCCTTCTTCAGTGATTCTATGATATGTACAATACTAAAGCAGCATGAGTCGATAAAGGCTATAGCACCAACCAGCGATAAAGTGTAGCAAGTAAGTTAAGTGATTAATCGATAGAAAAAGAACAGCACGAAACTAACTCCTCCAATGTTGTTGGAGTTATATAGGGCGACTGACAACACTGCCATCTCTGCTGCCGCCATCACCACCACTATGTAAGGATTATCTTTCAGTGGCCCTTATACACCCAACAACAAACAACACAACAACTCTCGTTGGTTAGGGAGAGAGACATGACATATTTTATTCATTCTAGAGTATACATGTTTGTATGTTATTAATATTGTTTATGTCATATTAGATGAATTGTGCTAGATAAATAAGCCATAGGGTTGATATTAGTGTCATATTGAAGGACTATCTTGTCCTGCCTCCAAACAAACTCTCCTGCCTCTCTCATATGCCAGCAAGAGTCTTCAATAAAAGTAAAACTGATTTAAGTGTTCATTTATCCATTAAAATTAGTGCTTTATATTTCTCATAGTTTTCTGTATGTAAAACTATAGTATTTATTCTTTAAAAAAGTGAATTTTTTGTGAATATTTTTGAGTGGAATGGATTAATTGGATTTACATTATTTCTCATGTGAAATATTGCTTCGACTTTAGGCCATTTCGACTTTAGGCCTAGCTCTTGGAATGGATTATGGCCAAAACTCGGGGTTCCACTGTACCTGGAGTCAAAGTTTCCAAACATAAGTGAAGGCAAGTTAAAGGCAGGAATCTTTGTTGGCCTTCTGATTCGGGAATTGGTGAAGGACAAACATTTTGAAGAAGCATTAGCAGGTGTTGAGGTGAATATGTGGTTTTCATTCAAGCAGGTTGCCCACAACTTCTGGAAAATGGACGCTTCCCCAAATATGAAAAAATGATCCAAGACCTGATTTCAAGTTTCCAACAACTTGGGTCTAGAATGAGAGTGAAGATGCACTTTCTGCATTCACCTCTTGACTATTTTCCCAACAGTTGTGGGGACTACAGTGAGGAACAAGGAGAGCGGTTCCATCAGGATATTTGCACCATGGAAACTCGATACCAGGGCAAATGAAATGTCAGCATGATGGCAGATTACTGCTGGTCACTGAAATGTAATGGTCTTGATGCACAGCACAAGCGAAATCAAAGCGGTCCCCCTTCCTTTGATTCAGTATTTAGGCTAACCATTAGAAGTATATTTTTTTAATAAAATCATTTGTTATGATTCATGTTGAGTTAGAATTCATATGTTCTTAAAACCAACAGAATGTGATTTTCCATGATTACTTGCCTAATTTTAATAAATTAACAATTTATTAAAAATTCACATTTTTTATTATCATTAATTTGTATTTTATTCAAAATCCATACATGATAGAGCAAAATGGTTTAGATATTTACAATCAGCAGCCCAAGAATATGTAAGATTGCAACCATGAATAAAAATAAAAATTAAAACATTCCAGATGCAGACCAGTGTAATGTCTGTTACTTCTGAGCTACACCCTTCAGGCTCGGCTTTACCAGCTGGAAAATAAAATGCTCCATAGGACAGTAAAACCGTAGTGCTTGTACGTTGGTGAAACCTGCTTCTTGAATGTCCTCCAACATGTCTCGTGTTAATTCACAACCATCAAACAGGTATGGCCAAATTCCTGTTGCTGTTAGAAAGTCTTGAATTTTCTGTCTAGTGGAATGTCGCTCTGTGTCGAATTCTCTGATGTGCTCGTAGAAGTACAGCTTTCCTCCCTGGAAGAACATAAGAAAATAATGAAAGAACATTGTAGTAGGCCTGTTGCCCATGCTAGACTCGTCCAGTTCTCACCCCATCACACCCACTCGTATACCTGTCCAGTCTATATTTAAAGCTACCCAAAGTTTTTGCCTCAGTGATGTTACCTGGGACTTACTTCACACATTTACAGCTCTGTTTCCAAACCTTCATACTTCCCTATATCATTTACAAATAAAAATTTATCCAACTTGAATTCATTGCCCCGAGTCCTGTCTTTGTTAGATATTTTCCGCGTTATTTACATCCCTTTATGTATCCCTGCTTTGTTTGTACACTTTAGTCATAGTACCCCCTGTATCTAGCTAGGTTTTTCTTGAGTACAGATTCAGTATGTTCAGTCTATCTTCGAGGGAAAGGTTTCTGATACATGGGATCAACTTACCCATCCTTCTATGCATATTTTCCAGCACAGTTATAAACATTCTGTAGCATGGAGACCAGAACTGAGCAGCATAATCTAAATGAGGCCTTACCAAGGACATGTAAAGTTGAGGTATAACCTCATAAATCCATGATTCCCTTGTGAGCAAGGATTCCAGTACTGACCCCTGTGGCACACTGCTTGTAACTGGTCCCCATTCTTCTTCCTTCCCATTTATGCACACTCTCTGAGGTAATGACAGCATTATTGTACATATATTCATCAGGAGATGCTAGATTTATCAGCTTATCTGCCTATCTCTCTACATACATGTTTTTAAATCTGAAACATAATTTTTCTGTGCTAAACTGTGATAATTATCCTTTGGTTAGAAATAACTAACATTGTTTATAGTGAAGTTTTTATTTGTATGTGCAACATCTGAGGTATCTTTATTTTGTAAACGTTTTGCCAATCAGTGGCTTTATCAGTACAACACAAGGACATAAACTGAGGACTGGAGAAGAGAATGTGAACAATACCTCAGCCTAACAGCAAGTGTTGAGCACTATAGTCTTTCATCAAGGCTACCGATACCCAGACGTTGCACCTGTGTGTAATTTATCAACTTTTTGGTATTGAAATAATATAAATCCTGCGTCTATTTACTCTTTAGAGGAGTCTTGAGGTTAGATATTTTTATGTTACTGGGTGTTTAAAGGACCACAAGAGCTTATGCCATATTGAACCCTTCTACCCAGTGTGTAAGCCTTTATTTAGGCTTTGCATACTTAAGAGAACTAACACAATGGACCCCCGCTTAATGAACCTTGTCATAACGTAATGACCAAACAACATAGGCCCCCACTGCCCCTTAATGCCCGGCTCCTGTTTGTTTAATGACCAATTGTACAGGCCGCAGACTTTTTCCCTCCATTACGACCTCTTCCTCGAATAATACCGGTTAGGCATGTTATGTAGAGGGCGTTCTGGGGGTCAACGTCCCCACACTCCGGTCCTTGACCAGCCCTCGTGGTGGAGCAGGACCTGATCAACTAGGCTGTTACTGCCCTGACCGCTGGAACCAGTGGGTTGCAGGAGCGCAGGACACGTGGTGTTAGCACTGAGAACAGACACATGGTGTTAGCACTGAGAACAGACACGTGGTGTTAGCACTGAGAACAGACATGTGGTGTTAGCACTGAGATCCTGAATACTGTCAGCATTGTCGATGAGGCTTGAGAGGAAATGACAGTCGCTACAATGAACAGTACATGGAAGAAATTGTGGCCCATATATCTTTGCATTTTATATTGATGCCTAACCATCAGTGGTAAACTAGGTTAATCACTGAACAAGCTCACAACAACATGTTGCATGGTGGAGTCCAAGACACACTATGTCACATCCGACAGTCCCACTGGATACCCAATAGAAGTCAGTGAGGAGACAATTGAAACACTTCATCATATGCCACTAAATAGAAAGGCAGCCTTACCTGTTCCCTGGGCCCCACCATGAAAGTGTGTCATATTGTTATATTGTTACATTTGAAGAGATGGTAGTAGACTACACCGAGCCTATAATTCTGACTGAAACACCAGACAAAGTTTCCAAGTCTGTGTATGCCCGAGAGAGAGAGAGGGAGGGAGGGAGGGAGAGAGGGAGGGAAGGAGAGAGAGAGAGAGGGAGGGAGGGAGAGGGAGGGAAGGAGGGAGAGGGAGGGAAGGAGGGAGAGGGAGGGAAGGAGGGAGAGGGAGGGAAGGAGGGAGAGGGAGGGAAGGAGGGAGAGGGAGGGAAGGAGGGAGAGGGAGGGAAGGAGGGAGAGGGAGGGAAGGAGGGAGAGAGATGGAGGGAGAGGGAGGGAGGGAGAGGGAGGGAGGGAGAGAGATGGAGGGAGAGGGAGGGAGGGAGGAGAGGGAGGAAGGAAGGGAGGGAGAGGGAGGAAGGAAGGAAGGGAGGGAGAGGGAGGGAGGGAGGGAGAGGGAGGGAGGGAGAGGGAGGTAGGTAGGTAGGGAGGGAGGGAGGTAGGTTGGTAGGTAGGGAGAGAGGTAGGTAGACAGGCGGGCATGTATTCCTCTACTAGTGATGATGAAGTATATGAAAGGTTCTCAAAGGCAGCATAGTGTGAAGCAAGAAAGAACACTCTGGTTAGGAAAATGAAGAACATCAAGAACAGATAGATTCATATAGAGTCGAGGAGAAATAGAGGGAGAAAGAAGCAATAAATGAAAGTAGAAATTCTAAATACTCAAAGGAGATAGAACATAAACTAAAAGTCACTTGTTCTCTTCAGTCTGGAATGCTGCTATTTATTAACGGTCTCCATCAAGTCAAGAGAGAATACAGAGCTAGAAAACAGAGAGCCTTCGCTGTCGGTATAAGCTTAATCAAACATCTGAACTATTGGAAACATCTGAAGCCTCTTTAAATGTGCTCCTTGCAATGTAGGCTGGAAAGATACATTATAATTTACACCTGGAAGGACTGGTCCCAAACTTGCACAGTGAAATCCTTCTGTATGAAAGCAAGAGACTTGGCAGACAGTGTAAAGTGCCTCAGTGAAAGCAATGGCACAATGAATATATTAAGAACTTTGTGTCAGAGGTCCCTGACTTTTTCAGCACCCTTTCTTCGCGCATAGAGATAATTACCTGGAAACTTCTGGCTGTCTTCAAGAGGAAACTTGATAAGTTTCTCAAATCAGTTTCATATCATCCGGACTGTGGTGCATATGTTGGACTGTATTCAGCCAGTATCAACAGCTTGGTCAATCAGACAAGCAACTGAGAAGTCTGGTCTGGACCAGGCCATGGGGACGATGACAACTGGACGCTTCATAAAGTAATCACAAAGAAGGTCTGCATCTCGCGTCACATGGCTTCTTATGGGAACATTAGATTCGCTTACCATAAGTTTTGCTCAGTGAATAATTTTTTGGTCCTTATCTAGCTCATTAAGTGAGGGAAAGTGGGGTCTGCTGCACAGTAAGGATGTTATTACTGGAGCTAGTACACAAAGAACGTCATGGACTTACTGTAGCTAGTACCCAGACGAGGATATTGGCTTACTGTTAGTACACGAAGGATGTTACTGACTTACTAGTAATAGTACATGGAGGATGTTATTGACTTACTGGTGCTAGTACACGAAGAATCTGTTGCAACATCTTCTTGGTGTTGTGCACAGAGCAGAAAACGTGCGTGGTCACCACCACATCAATGCTGCTGTCAGGAACCATGTCCATATTCTCCGCTGCAGGAACAACCAGATTATTTAAGATGAATCAGTGCTTATCATCAGCTTTCAAGAGACTGTTCCTCACAGCCCATTAGTTTTCCACAAAGACCTCGGCATTATATACTCAATTACATATATTTTTTTCATTACAAATATTGAGAACATTTAGCACAACACCATATATAGTGTACTTCTTTTAGAGAGGATTCTTCCAGATAATGTATGTACCCAGCGCCTGGATAGTGAAGTCTCGTGAAGAGTTTGGATAGTCAGTGTACAAAGCGAATCATACACCGATCGTGTAATACATTCAACAGTACAGAAATAATGCAGATATTTTCGGTCTAGAGAGGGATTTTGGGGGATGTTAAGCGAGTGTATAGGAACCCTTGAACCAAGTGAGAGAGTAATTGTGGTAGGGGGCCTAAAAGCTAAAGTAGGAGAAACATTTAGAGAGGGCGTGGTAGGTAAGTTTGTGGTGCCAGGTGTAAATGATAATGGGAGCCCTTTGACTGAACTTTGTATAGAAAAGGGTTTAGTTATAGGTAATACATACTTTAAGAAAAAGAGAATAAATAAGTATACAAGATATAACGTAGGGCGTAATGACAGTAGTTTGTTGGACTACGTATTGGTAGATAAAGACCTGCTGAGTAGACTTGAGGATGTATATGTTTATAGAGGGGCCATAGATGGATCACTTTTTAGTTGTAGCTACAGTAAGAGTAAAAGGTAGATGGGCTACAAGGAAAATAGAAGCAGTAAGTAAGAGAGAGGTGAAGGTGTATAAACTAAAAGAGGAGGCAGTTAGAGTAAGATATAAACAGCTATTGGAGGATAGATGGGCTAGTGAGAGTATAGGCAATGGGGTCGAAGATGTATGGGGTAGGTTTAAGAATGTAGTGTCAGTGTGTTCAGCAGAAGTTTGTTACAGGAAAGTGGGTGTGGGAGAGAAGAAGAGCAATTGGTGGAATGATGATGTTAAGAGAGTAGTAAGGGAGAAAAAGTTAGCATATGCGAGGTTTTTAAAAAGTAGAAGTGATGCAAGGAGGGAAGAGTATATGGAGAGAAAAAGAGAGGTTAAGAGAGTAGTGAAGCAATGTAAAAAGAGAGCAAACGAGAGAGTGGGTGAGATGTTATCAAAAAATTTTGTTGAAAATAAGAAAAAGTTTTGGAATGAGATTAATAAGTTGAGGAAGCCTAGGGAACAAATGGATTTGACAGTTAAAAATACAAGAGGAGAATTATTAAATGGAGAGTTAGAGGTATCAGGAAAATGGAGGGAATATTTTGAGGAATTGTTAAATGTTGATGAAGATAGGGAAGCTGTGATTTCTTGTATAGGGGAAGGAGAAATAACATCTTGTAGGAGTGAGGAAGAGCCAGTTGTGAGTGTGGGGGAAGTTCGTGAGGCAGTAGGTAAAATGAAAGGGGGTAAGGCAGCTGGGATTGATGGGATAAGGATAGAATTGTTAAAAGCAGGTGGGGATATAGTTTTGGAGTAATTGATACTATTATTTAATAAATGTATGGAAGAGGGTAAGGTACCTAGGGATTGGCAGAGAGCATGTATAGTTCCTTTGTATAAAGTCAAAGGGGACAAAAGAGAGTGCAAAAATTATAGGGGAATAAGTCTGTTGAGTATACCTGGTGAAGTGCATGGTAGAGTTATTATTGAAAGAATTAAGAATAAGATGGAGAGTAGGATAGCAGATGAACAAGGAGGCTTTAGGAAAGGTAGGGGGTGTGTAGACCAAGTGTTTACAGTGAAACATATAGGTGAACAGTATTTAGATAAGGCTAAAGAGGTTTTTGTGGTATTTATGGATTTGGAAAAGGCATATGACAGGGTGGATAGGGGGGCAATGTGGAAGATGTTGCAGGTGTATGGTATAGGAAGTAGGTTACTGAAAGCAGTGAAGAGTTTTTACGAGGATAGTGAGGCTTGATTATTTCCCAGTAAAAGTAGGCCTTAGACAAGGATGTGTGATGTCACTGTGGTTGTGTTCTCTTCCATACCTCAGGTAGTCACCCTATTTTGATAGATGTGTTGAAGATTGTTAGTGGTACACATAGTGCCTCTGCTCCCTCTCTCAGGACCCTTGGAGAGATGTTATCCAGCCCCATCGCCTTTGAGGTATCTAGCTCGCTTAGCAGCCTCTTCACTTCTTCCTCGGTTGTATGTATTGTGCCCAACATTTAATGGTGTACCTCACCTCTCCGTCTTTCTGGAGTCCCACTGTGAACACTTCTTTGAATTTCATGTTGAGCTCCTCACATACTTTGTAGTCATTTCTTGTGATCTCCCCTCCTTCCTTCCTCAGCCTGATTACCTGGTCCTTGACTGTTGTTTTCTTCCTGATGTGGCTGTACAACAGCTTCGGGTCAGATTTGGCTTTTGTTGCTATGTCATTTTCGTATTGTCACTGGGCCTCCCTTCTTACCTATGCATATTCATTTCTGGCTCTATGGCTGCTCTCCTTATTCTCCTGGGTCATTTGCCTTCTATACTTCTTCCATTCTCAAGCACACTTGGTTTTTGCCTCTCTACACCTTTGGGTGAACCAAGGGCTCATCCTGGCCTTCTCGTTATTTCTGTTACCCTTGGGTACAAACCTCTCCTCACCTTCCTTGTGTATTGTCACATATTCCATCATCTCATTTACTGACTTCCCTGCCAGTTCTCTCTCCCACTGAACCCCATGGAGGAAATTCTTCATGCCTGCATAGTCCCCATTCTTGTAGTTTTGCTTCATTCGTCCTGCCCTTCCTGCTTCCCTCTCCATTTGTAACTACTACGTATTCGAAGCTCAAAACCACACGTTCACTGGCCCCGAGGGGTCTTTCATATGTGATGTTCTCAATATCTGCACTACTTAAGGTGAATACTAGGTCCAGTTTTGCTGGTTCATCCTCTCCTGTCTCTCTGGTAGTGTCCCGTACATGTTGGTACACGAGGTTTTCCTGTACCACCTCCATCTTAGCTCTCCACGTTTCTGGGGCCCCCATGTAGCTCCAGGTTCTCCTAGTCAGTTTCCACGTGGATGAAGTCACTCATATTCAGCAGCTTTGCCCTGCTTGCGTGAGCCCTTCTGGCCACTTCTGCCTGTGTGTGTGTGTGTACCCACCTAGTTGAGGTTGCAGGGGTCGAGTCCAAGCTCCTGGCCCTGCCTCTTCACTGGTCGCTACTAGGTCACTCTCCCTGAACCATGAGCTTTATCGTACCTCTGCTTAAAGCTATGTATGGATCCTGCCTCCACTACATCGCTTCCTAAACTATTCCACTTCCTGACTACTCTGTGGCTTTCGGGGATTCGACTGACTCCTTCGATTTGTCTGACCTCCGCTCTCCTTTGACTATGCTTCCGGCCTCTCCCTCTACAGTGCGGCAATTTTCGAATCGCCAGCCCGTCCCACATCGGACCAACTCTGGTCCCACTTCTAAATGCCAATGACAATCTCCTGATGACGTTACTTCATTACCTTCCCATTCTACTCGGAAAAGACCGACACGTCATGCACTCCCTCTCCACACTCAGTTTCGAACCACACAATGGACTAACTTCTTTACTTTAAGACCGACTTCTTCTACTACTTATCTTTCTGACCATAGTATTGGCAAAGCGCTCCTATGCCATGTTGGTAGAGATATTTCCTTTCATGCTCTTAAGAGTAGTACGCATATCATCACAGTCCAGAATGCTACCCAAGCTCATGATCTTTCTCTTCTTTCACATATCGATACTATTCCTATCACTATTGAAAAACATCATTCCTCAATTCTTGTAGTGGTACTGTCATTCTGCCCCATACCATAGCCCAACAGAATTTCCAGACATGTGGCAATGACATTCTCAAACAGCTGGAACTCCAAGATCTCCCAATTCTCAAGGTAGACACTTATGTTCTTCCTGCCTGCGGGAGGAGACGATACCCTTGCAATGTGGCTCGTTTAACTTTTAACAGCCGTGAACTCCCATCCTCTGTTTATGTAGCAGGACATCAGTTACAAGTTTGAAAGGTGATCCCTACACCGCAACAGTGTAGAAATTGCTGGCGATTTGGCCACCCAGCAAAATATTGCAGATCTATAGCTGAATGCCCAGTCTGTGGTGCCGATGACCATTCTAATACATCTTGCAGTTGACCTCCCTCTTGCCTTAATTGTCATGAGGCTCACCCTTTGTACTCTCGCCATTGCCAGGTCTACTTGAATGAGCGGGAAATTCGTTGCCTCAAAGAGGTAGAAGGTCTCCCTTATGCTATGGCGGTTTCTCGTTTCTGCCTCCAAGGGAGACTACCCCGTGTTTCTTATTCTCTTGTTTCAAAACGTCCCCCCACTTCCGGGGTCCCATCTTCTGCAGCCTCCTCTGCGGCTGCCAGTCCCATAGTCACTCCTGTATCTAATTCTTTTGCTGTCCTGGGCTCAGACGTCCCTACTTCAACACCTCAGTCTGTTCTCACTTCGTGTTCTCCCTCACAAACCCCGGTATTGACAAGACCTCGTACGACACCTCCTCCCAATCGTCCTTCTACTTCTCAGAAGTCCAAAAATCTCTTTTAACCCCTCCTTCCCTTCATCCACCTCCACACTTTACCTTCCCGGTCTCTGTACCTGGGTCTTCCCCTTTCACTGGCTCGGTTACAAGTTTGGAGGCTCATCCTTCTCCTCGTACTGTGCCTTCCTCCCCTGTCCCCTCTCAAGTTTCTTTCTCTTCTGCCACCTCCCAGGTTTCTGCCTCTTCTGTCCCCTCCCATAGTTCTCCAGTTCCCTCCACCCTTTTGCCCCCCGTACCTTGACACAGTCCATTACAGTTCCAGTCTTTACTCAAACTTCTCCTTCCATCTCCAATATTGTCTCCCATACGACATCTCTGGACTCCAAAACACTTGAAGTAATCTCTGAATATATTGCAGAGACCAAACCATCAATGGACACTGATCCACCCTCTGTTCCTTCTCTTTCCTCTTCTCCATCTGCGCAACTCCTTTCTTCACAGCACACCATTCCTTTG